ATTAAAGAAGAGAAATGCCGTGGCGAAGATTTAACGAAGGGTATTTAATTATGAATTGACGAAGTGCTGCAATTATAATTACAGTTGACTGAAAGATCGTGGCAACGATTAAACTATGAATTCCAACGCCAAATTCTTTTAATTTAAAAACAGATTATTTGAATTCCAAATTGCCTCATGTAAGATTCTCATCAGAGTTAATGATTTCGCGAACGGCAGAGAATCGCGTGAGCAAACCGAATCGGATAGCGTTTACGCAACACCGGGTCCCGATCGAGTGGCGAAAAAGTCACGTCGCATCGGCCGAACGGGCGATACGACCCAGTTCTCCAACGAGGAAACCCTGGCAGGGTTATTAGGGGCAGTTACGGTGGTCGAAAAACCCGCCGCGGTGCGGTGCGGCGAACTGCAACGAGGGAGAGGGTTGAAAAGTGGTAAACGTGTCCTGCTTACCGTTTCGTGGCTCGTTAATTTTCTTTTCTGAGCCTCGATAGGGGAGAACGCGCCGATTTCAGGAAATTGTCTAATCGGATCTGTAAAGACTACCGCTCTCCGCTAATTCCTTGTCCTCGTTAATCCTTTTCTATTGAAAACGACATTAATTTGGCAGAGACAGCGAATAGAAATAAGACAATTAAATCGATGCAGTAGACGGGCATCGTTTCATTCTCGAGGCAAAATTCCTAGAGTCTCTCACGTTGAAACGTACAGATTACGTGAGAAAAGTGACGAGGTTGAAGAACCGAGGAGCAAGAATCACGAGGTACGCGGATCGTTTCAGCATGCAAATTCAGTGGACGCAACAATATATGTATGCGTTTCTGATTAACCATTCAAGAGATAATCGCATACTACACAAGCACTATAGCCAGGGACTTCCTCTTGGAATGCGGTAAGACTTGACTCGATCTCCGTTCCCCCGTCACGTGCCAACTGACAATGTTTAAAGCGACGAGTATCGTAAATAAGTTGATAATTGGAACATGTTACATCGAAACGAGACGAGCTCTGAAACAATATTGACAACGAAGAACCTTGAGAACATGAAATCATTCCTACTGTTTTAACTTTAGGTGATATACATAAATAAAATATAGTTAAGGAAAACAACAACGCGAATAATAATGCAGATATCTTTTGGATATCCTCTTGTTCTTTCCTATTTCTTTTCCAATAAAATAAGCAGGAATAATAAACGATTTTAAACAAGACTATGGTACTATAAGATTAACTTGGCCAAACATTTCCTGGCCGAAAGAGCAACGACGAGAGCTGTGAAAGGCGCGAGATAAAACGGAAGTTTTCAAGCGACACGCCTTCCTGTCGACGCGTGGGAAACTTTTGAAAACGTCTTCGCCGCTCGATCGGAGACGACTTGGAAATTTTTTTCCCAGCGTTACAACGCGTTATCGCGTTCACATCCACGTCAATAGCTCGGGCTTGTTCGCCGCGCCGGTTTGCACGCGAGAGTTACCGCGAAAATTGCCAAGGCGCCGCGCCGGAAGCGGTGAACCGACGCTCCGCGGCACGCCAGAAAATGGAGACGTCGAGGTGGAAAGCTCCGATCGGGGGAAGAATTTAATTGAGGCGCGCCGATAGGAGCGCACGCATAATTAATCCTCCGTCTTTGACGGATTAATTCTCGTTAAAACCGACGCGAAGCGCCGCGGCGTCTCTAATATCGAACGCCATCTACGTAACGCGCGATTAAACGACGTCGTCGAGTGGAGGAGAGGATTTATTCGTTTCCGGTCTCGTTAAAAAAATATCCGTCGCCTCTCGAGTAGAGCGTAATTTGCGAAAAAATTTTGCGTCATTAATCTAAAGTTCACCGGCGCCGCGCCGTTCCTGTTTTCCTCCTAAGATAATTAGTCTGCGGAGAATCGATCGGAGGAAGGTGAAGGGTTAACGCGACGTTAACAAATCGATCGTTTTCCAACCATGCTCCATAGTAAAGTTTCATGGAATACTTACGCGGATAGCCTGTTGGTGCTGTGCCTCTCGCGTTCTGAAACAGAAAAATTGAGGGATGGCAATTAGCGTCCAGCTAAGTTAATTAGCAGCGTTTCAAGGACGAGGATCAACGCCGAGTCCACCGCCCCAGATCTCGCCGCGACCTGACATAATAACGTTTACCTCGATGTTCGTTCAACAGCCGCGCGCAAATGAAAACCCGATTACCCGTCTAATAAATCAATCGTTCATTTGTTCTCAAGTGACAAATCTATTTTGGGAGCCTTCCATAGGTCGCGTACAAGCTGTAGGAGTATTATTTGAGAACAAAGAACATGCCATACGAGTTGATAAAAAAACAAATGGTATCTCTCGGGAAGGCAAAGCTTAGCTGGAATCCTGTAGTCTCGCGGCAGCAATGCATCGTAAATCAATTAGCCATTACGCAAACGCGCGCGACATGAATAATTCCGCGTGAAATTTTCACGCTAGCGTTGAATTATACGTATGTAGTTACGTACGTACGTACGTACGTACGAGCAGCAAACACGATCGTCGCTAGCCCCGACGTTCTTGACATCTGCCGTGAAAAAATCATTTTCATAGAGCTCCGTCCTTGACGACGCTCATGCCATACGGTACTCTTTTTATGCAGTTCCGGAGCTGGCAGCGCAGAGAGAGAGAGAGAGAGAGAGAGAAAGAGATCGATTGTGAGATTGTGAAAGCGCGAGGGAACGTGAAATCTTTCGAGGAGAGAGAGATCCCTCGAGCGGGAATCAATTCGTTTGATTCCCGACACCGTTTTGCTCGACGACTAGCTCTCCCATCCTTTGGTAAACGCGATCATGAAGAAAGAAAGAAAGGAAGAAAGGAAGGAAGCTGACGAGAGACCCGTTCGAGGAGGCATTGCGTAAACAATAGAAAGCAACACGCACGTTAGCTCGCACGCATGGGAAAGGGGCTTCGAGAGTAGAGGAGGACAGAGTGCTGAGACTGGGTCAAAGAGAGAGAGAGACAAGGAGGTAGGGGAGGTTCGAGCTAGGAAAAAAGGGAGCCCGACCTCGGGTGAGAGGGTTGCGATGCCTTGACAACAGAATTCGATCGCGCAACGCGCTGCCTTTCCGTTCCTCGGTCAAATAAAATTTTATTTCATCAAAAGATCTTACGATGAAAGATCTGAATCTAGAAAGCCGTGATACTATTTTTCGTCGCTCGTATATCTAAAGCGATGAGAGCGAAGGGTGATCTCGTTTTCATCCGAGATATTAATCATTTATGCATTTGTTAAAATACACCGATTATCGTTTTATGCGGAATGACGTTAAAATATGCTTAACGGAGTCGAGATTCTCCAATTAAATGATGTGTTGTATGCGCGGGCACAGAGGTTGCGTTAATGAATTCCATATGTAGCGCGATTAATATACGATTACCGAGTTAGACGCGTCACGATGTCCAATTAGAGGCATAATTTATTGCGGGGATCGTTACTGGGCTCGGAGGGACGACGAGCTCTACAATGCGCTCGATCGTCATAACTATCTCTCACTCTCTCTCTCTCTCGCTGTTTCTCTCTCTTGTTTCCAACAAAAGCTACGGAATTCCCTGGCAATGTTCCACCGGGCTAATTATCACTGTTCGCCGCGGAGGTCCTTCGCAAACTATTCGAAACGGATCGTTACGATCAATCAATATGACACACGCAATCGATACCGAGCCATTAACGAACGGCGTTGCGTAACTCCATGACCAACGTCACGTGCAACGAAAACTCGTATTTCTGCGTGTCCATTCAATACGTATTTACCAACAATGCAACTTTTCTTTCGACATTCGATGACATACTTATCATTCATCGTTCCGATACCGACTTTTTTCATTGTGACTGCAAAAGCAAAGTCGAAGCTTTTGTCGCTCCGTTTACGTAACTCAGTGATCGACGTCACGACGTCGTACAACTCGTGTCGTACCAGAAACTAATGTCGTTCGTTCATTACACGCATTTAATACCTGCGCGTTTAACGTATTCAGTTTAATCTACTTAGAAGGCGAACGAGTTCTATTTTTCTTTTTTAAGGAAATAGTGAACAATTCCTTGAACGCATTTCCGCTGATAATGTACACGATAAGGGCTTCCGTACGCCGATCAGGTATTACTCGGATTATCCCAGTTTGGAGCACGACGTAGCGCGCGGAAACAATCAACGATTGAACGGTTTGAGCGCACCTGATAACAGAAGATAGTTGACAGCGTCCCGCAGCAGCTCGAATCCGGTGAGCATGACTTATCGTACACGTTACTGCGCTCGATATCGCCTCATATTAACTCCCGTTCCGGCATCTGCGTAAGAGTCACGATCAATCTTCCATTTTCCCGCCGCGCCTAATCGATCCGATCGATCGTTGCGCGATGCAAATCGCTTCTGTCCACGTTCCTGTCTCGCCGTTCAAGGTGGCACGACTTATAGACCACGTCGACGTAATGAGTTAAATTAAATTCGATTTACAAAATTCGTCTCAAGATGTTTAACCGAGGATACCGCGACGGCGGAAGCGGTTTTTCAAACGCATATACTCGCATTGACGCGCATCGGTTGACTGAGGCCCGGTAGGACTCATATTCCTCCGCTCACCGGTGCTCGCACAGTCCTGGGCCTGGTGGCAGCCACACACGCGCCAACCAGCGGGGCCTACGAGGCGCAGCTTGCTAAGCAGACGGTCGCTTCACCTGCGTACCGATGCCTTTTGTTCGAGGCCCCTCTTCCTCCCTTTTCTCGAGCGTCCCCCCTCCGCTTCCCCAGCCCGTTCCGTGACGTTCTTCTAGCTACCCGCCGTCCTTTTCTACGTGGCTCCTGCGGGCACCCTCCTCTTTCGTTTCCGCTTTTTTTACGCGGCCCTGATTATGATTAGATCCCTCCGAAATTGATTCGTTCAATTCTGACCGAAACGATCTTAATTCAAACGTTCCTACGACACTTCGCATAGGTTGAACGTACTATCTTGATCGACGAAACAAACGACTTTCGTCGTTCTCTTTTATAAATCGTCGCGCGGATTCATTTATCACGGCACGCGCAAGTTATTCACTTTGCCCGATTAAAATCGGCACAGACAGTAATTGACAAGCTCTGGATCACGTTTTTTGCTGAGCTACGAACAGCCCTCGGATGATTCCCGAGGCTCGATCAGATCGCCGTAAAGGGTAACTATCGATCAGTATATAACTCACGGTCTGTGTTTATGTAAATGTGTGCGTGCGCGCGGTCCGTAATCCGTAAAAAGGATCGAACGCGTGTTATTAAGGCGTGCAGTTAGCCGGCACACGCCTGGACGAACCTCACGACGACGGCGCACCTGTTTCAGCGAAAGGATCTGGTTTGGACCGTCTTGCCCTTCGATTCCCTCCTTCTTCTCCTCTAACCTCCTGCGCATCCTTCGCTCCCTCGTCCGAGACGCGTTGCCTCGTCGAATGCTCTCGATCGGAATTCAATGAGGCGATCATTCGAATTCAACGAGACACGGTCGCATTAAATTGCGACTCGCCTTCGAGAGGAATTAGGTTTCCGAGTGCAACGTTGTTCCGGATACGGACAGATGAGCTTGCCTGTTTTTATCGACAAGGAAATAAAAAAAAACAAAGTTCTCTAGAACGCGACGATGTTCGCGTATCGTCTCCGCTCCGTGACGCGAATGAGAATATCCTCAGGCGTTTCGTCTACTGGATCCGACGTGATTTGGTCGCTCGCGAGACATATGTAACGAGCGCCTCCGCGGGTCGGATACACGTGAACGTCTCGTACGCGTATTCGAACGGTGTACGTCCTTGGAGAGCGCGCGCGCGCGCGCGCTACGTGACTCTGGTAGGGGGTGAGCGAAAATTACTGGATACTCATAATCACTTTCGACTCGAGCATCGCGTCGCGATTACTTCTAATGACACGCCGGTCGCATTTGCAAACGGTTGCGCAACAATGGTCGATTGTCCTACGCCCGTGACTCGCGGAGCGCCTCCACTTCGACTTTCGTTCAATTGCTACGAGACTAACGACGTCACAATGCGTTTATTGACGATCATCTGCGGAATCTGTTTCTCAAAGACGAGACCGTGCAGAATCCGCTGTTGTTTCAATTACCAAAGAGTTAACGATTCGAAATTCGAGAAACTGAAAGGATTTCGTCGGGGCGGAGGAGACCCTCGAGCGTTTGATTACGAGTATAACGAGGTTACCGAGGCAAATGGGAGTTTTAACGAACGGAGAAATTCTCGTGAAGATGGAAACGCGGCCGAGTTCTGATAAGACAAAAGACGTCGTACGAGGGAACGATAAGATTGTTGAACGTTAACAACGACCCATATTCTACGGGACGTAACAATGTTCTGGATTGGTCGCTACCGGCCTCGTCGAGAAGTCACCGGTACCGGTGAGGCAATCGTTCGGTTCGATTGCACAACTAATCGATGACAGCCCGGGCTTCGGTTCGTTTATGACGGTTAATTTGCATTCGCCGAAGGATGCCGGAGACAAAGGGATTCGGGAAATCGCGTTTCCGACTCAAGGCTTCAACGACTCCTCGAATAGAAACTCTGCGGGATAAAAATAAAAGCAAGACTATCGACTAAGCTACATCTTTCTTGTTTACGATTAATCTAAACCGATAAATTGTATTTATAAAAGCGTCTTCTATTTTTATCGATGTGAAGAATTCAGTTGCTTAAAATATAAGTTATTCCAGTTTTAACTCAGGTAAAACTTCGTAGAACAGGATTACATGGAACAATTAACACTAAATGTGTAATTATGAAATAAATAGTATTTAGCTGAATAGAGAAGGCACGTAACGCGTTAGAATTGTGTTTGAAACAACAGAAACAGAATGAGAGGAGGAATCGAAATCGACAGGTGCCACGGGCATCGCCGACCTACTTGAGGGACTCCCTAGGGTGTCCTAACGCGAAATCGTCTTAAACGAATGTTACGAGGGATCCCCGGCTCTGGATTATCTGAACCCATCTACAACTTTACTGACTTGCTTATTCCCTCGACATTTACATGA